CGATCTCCCCAAAACCCCAAAACCCCAAAACCCCTTTACAAAAATAGAATAATAATTGAATAAAATTTAAAATCAATTTAAATTTATAAATTCTAGAAGTTTAAAAATGATAAATGTTCAATTAAGAGACATGCTTACAAAGCTTGAAGATAAGCTCAAGAGAGAGGTCTAGCTTCGTATAGAAAACCAAAGGAATTTAAATTTACATCTACAGGATGTATGCAAGGATTTAGAAAATAAACTACTGCTGAAATTTGATTAAGAAATCAATATAATAACGAATAAAGTAGAGCAAATAGAGTTTAAAATGCATGTCTGGGAGCCACAATTAATATAAAGCCTTACAGACAATAGATCTTAGATTACCCAGTTCGATATGGAATGTAATAGTGTCCTAGGCGAATTAAAAACTGATCTCGCAGAACAATATTAATTGACAGATTTCTTCCAGCAGAAAGTGCTGGATAGATAATCACACTTTAATGATAAAGTTTACAATTAGGCATTAGTGCAGCTTGAAAGTGATCGAGATCAAATGGAAAGAGAACTTACAAGTAAAATACTAGATTTCAATTGGAAGGTGAAAGAAGAGAGTGATAAACTGGAAGAGATGGTCAAGGCAGAAATCTCTGGATTAATGGAAGAAATCGATAGAGAAAAAAAGGAAAGGATAGCATCTGATCAAATATTGACTTAGAATATGCAGAAATTGTTTGAACTTTGAGGTGGGAACAATTGCAAAAACAGAAAAGAAAATCTGAAATAGAAATTTAGCTAATGCCAATAGGAATCTAATTTTCAGAGTCTAAAATATGATACTTATAAATATTATTTATATTTTAATTGTTTTAATATTCTAGTTATTTATTTTATTAAAAGCGAAGTCTTAGTATGGGAAATGATATTTCTAGAGGAGTTGATCTGACTGAGTTCACCGAGGAAAACTAAGAATTGATTGATGAAACAAAAGGAAAGTATGATAAGACTATGGGCATGGTGAGAAAAATGTTTGCTCGTGACTAATTTTAAGATATCGACGAATATTACCAATCCTTTAAAGAGAGTATTGATTAACTAATGGAAGAATTTAAATAACTGTCTTTTGAATATAAGGCTAAAGACAAAAATACTTCCAAGCGACTTCTGCACATCAAAGATATCCAATCCCTGATAAATCGAATGGAAGACTCTGTAGGACATGACCTCTCAGCATTTCTAGAATACATCACAAATAAATTTAGTTTGAGTAAGGAATTTAGACTTAGATTATAAAAATATAGGATTAACTAAATATGCCTTATCAGTTGATGATATTAAGCTTGCATTCCAGCACCATATACAATATTCTAAATTCCTAAGAAAATTTCCACAGCATCTACTAGAAGAGTAAGAAGGGAAAAAATCAGCATTTAGAGAAGATTCTATAATAGCTGAAAAGAGAAGAAAAGAAGGATTTTTTTCAGCCTATTCATTAAGAAATCAAAACCCTAAAGAAAGTTAAAGAGTAAAAAGTTTACAATTAATCTGCTTCAAAGTGGCCAATCACAAAAGAAAAATAATCAAAATGCTTGAAAAATATGTTGAGACCAAAGGATTTTCAAGACCCTAAAGTATTATGAGCGCAGGAATCGAAGATGAATAATTGAAATATATCTCAATAAATGGAAGTAAAATGTAATAGCCTGGAAATTTATCAGAACTAAATGGATATATTCCGATATCCTAAATAATGCCAATTTTGAGAGATCTAAGTGAACTCATCCATGTAAAGATGCTGTCATTTGATTAATATAGAAAAGGGTATATTCCTGAGTCAAATGATTAAGATTGTTTGGCCAAATTTGAGAAATATATATATTTGGGTTTATCCTAAGAATAAGCTAAATTCTTAAAAAAGCCATCTATTTTTAGAGCTTTAGATTCATATTTAGCACCTAATAAGATAGGCATCATAGTAAAAAAGAAAGTTAAGTTTATTGAGGAAGGGCTAGAATATGCAAAAAAAATAGGGAAATTCGGCTTCACTGTTGACTATTTTATGCTTAAAATTGATAAATTTTTTGCCAAAGAATCTTCTGTCGTTCTAATAGCTACTGATGATGAATACGATAAATATCTAGAGATAGAAAAGAAAAAAGACTAGGAGCTATAATATACCATAAATTAGCTCGATGATTTTTTCTTTACATCAACAGAAAAGGATATCGACGAGGAAGAATTTCAAAAAGACTATCATGATTTATAGAGTTAACTACTCAAAATACCCACAAGAAAGGAGAAAACTATGGATATGCTGAACATACAAGAAGATGGAGTTAAATTGAGATTCGAGAATAGAGTACTTAAATAAGGCTTAACTAATAAAACAATGAAAATTATCAGAGATGATGATATGTTTAGAAGAAATTTAGTTAACACTATTAATCATTACGTAAAATTGCTGAAATTAAATCATTTTAAATCACAATAGTAAAGGCAAGAAATGGAAAAGTTGCTATAAATTCTCCAAGAATAATTAAAAAATTATGATGAATCTAATAACTCATAGTAAAAAGATAACTAGTTAGTTAAAGGAGAAATTGAGGATTCGAGAAAAAAAGGGCTTTAAGAGATCTTCAATTTCTATTCTAGATAGCATATCCCTTAAAACAAGCAATTTGATGATTTAAAGGAAATCATGAATGAAGTGAATTTAGGGGAATTCTATAGTTTTTGTAGAGATTTTAAGATTCCAATTACGAAAGGGAAAATAACTGAAATTTTTAAAAGAGCCTCTATCAATCACAAGCCTCATAAATTTGAATAGTTTTTGAACTCAGTAAAATTACTCGGAATAGAAATGACTAAAACGAAGATCGAGGAAACCTTGAAAAAATTATCTGATTTAGATAATAGGATTAACGAAACTGCAGCCACGAATTCCTAAGGTATTCAATCTTAGTATAGACTAGATATTCAGCCAAACATGTTGGATATTCAACAACTGCAAATGAAGAACAAAAATTTTGGAAGTAGATAGAGTTCTAGGTAAAGAGGGAGTAGCAATCGTTACAAAAATTCTAACTAAGCATCTTCAGAAGAGAGATCGCAAACATCTTAGAGAGCAACTAAAGAGCCTGTAAATATTTAGATAGAATCCAAAGGAATTACTCTAAATTCGAGATACAATAAATCCAGATAGGGTTCAACAGAGTCACTATAAAATCATAGTGGGTAGCTAGTATAAACTAGAGAGCAACTACTCATATTAAAACAGGCATTAGAATAAAAGTCGGAAGAAGAATCAAGAGAAGATATGATGAATTTCTTAGAATGTCAAGACCCAGCAAAGTACCGTAAGAAAATAAAAGGCTTTCACTTGCCTTTCAACTCAAGAGATAAAGTTAAAACAACTTAACAGTAGCATGAGGATTTAATTGCCTATACTGGCTCAATGAAGCTCAAGCTAGTCTTCAAAGAACAAAAAGGGTTAACTGATGAATAAAGAAAATAGCTAACTGATTAAAGGCTTAAGAAAATACAGGATAGATTAGCTTTGGAAAGAGAGAGCAAAGATATGTAATAGAGAGAGCGATAGGAGCTTTTAAAAAGGCATCAGTAGTTGAAAAGGGAGAGAATTTAAGCGATGGTGGATTAAAGAAGAGATTAAAAAGGAACTAGCTACACATTTCAGGAAATAGAAAAGATGCATTATTCTGAATTTAATAAAGGACCAGATGGTGAAGTATTCAAGCCCAGTGATATTGTTGACATTGAGGAGGATGAAGATGAATTGGTTAGACAAGGCAATAGTTCTAGCGTTGAAAGTCTAAAAACTGCATTATAAGGCAAATCACTTAATGTTAAATCTAGACGTTTGAGAAACACTTAATTGAACAAAGGGCCTCTTGATGTAAATAATGGGATATCTTAAACCCTTCCTCTATAAAATATCATAACTCAAAAATTCCAAGGTTCCATTCCTCTTAGCTATCTTAACTCAAGAAGATAAGCCCCTGTAGGCACATCTATGCAATAAGCACTTTCCCAATAAGTTTCTATCAACTAATTTGCCACACAAAATAATCCTAATCTAGATTCATCTTTCAACAAGAGAGAGTAGAGCTAATAAGCCTAAAGGTAACTTAAAAAGAGAGGAGGACAAGTTGTTAATTAAAGCTAAATTAACTAAGACCAGTCTAAGCTTAATCAACAGAATAACAATTCAAAGCAAAATATTTAATCTTTAGAGAATTCACCTATTAGAAATATCTTGGTATAAGATGCATTAACTGCTACAAACAAACTAGCAAGGCATTTTCTAAACGAAGAGAGTCAGCGCTTCAAGTAGTTTAATATGAAAAATCGGTTGGAAAAATTAAATTCTTCTACAATTGAGTAGCCAATTAATAAGTTAGCTCTTAACAACAGCATACTTTAGCATATAGACAACAAATATGGGTAACTAAATTCTAGCATTGGAAATATCTCCTCTAAAAATAATGACTTTGTCAATAAAAAGTAGGCTGATTTGAGTTTTTAAGAAAGCATCAATTAATAGATGATGATTAGTATAAAACCATCAGCACAAAATACAAAAAGAGACCAGATTATTAACAGAGCAGATCAGCTCAATCAATAGCTTCAATAGAAGTAGGAAAGAGTAAGTTAATTTTTAAATATTTATTATTTCTAATTTAGAATATGAGCAACATATTGAGATTGCATGATAAAGTTATTAATAAGGGTCTAAATACTGCTTTAAGAAAGCAATGATTTAATATTATTCATAATTTATTTTCCACTTGTATTTTTAACAGTTTAATGCTTATTTGTCTTCAAGGGGTTTTGGGGTTTTGGGGTTTTGGGG